CAGAAACCAGAAAAACAAATGAAATTTGTTGTTTTAATTACTCTAAGTTGAGCTCAGTTGTCAGAAAATAAAAAGAAACGAAGTGTCAATATAACTGGAAGAAACAATTTTTTTTTGAAAAACTGTCAATTTATCATGATCAATTTTCATCTTTCTTCGACATTTTTTAATCAATGCTTTTTTTCATTTTCATCTTTTTCATTTTCAATCATTTTTATTTGTACAAAACTTCAGCTCAAGATATACAATGAGATTTTTTAGATACCAACGCTTTGAGATTTCTGATTTCAAACCAGTGACGCCTTTAACTTGCAAATTTGTACATCAAATGACAATAAGTTTGAAGTAAACGAAAGAGATCTATTTAACTTAACATGCACAACAATCAACAAAAAGTTCAACCGCTGATTTGAATGTATTTTTTATTCAACACGACAACTTACCATGACTGGGAATCGATCTCCCTATTATCAACCTCCCTATTAACAACCATTTTCCTTTACCGCTACGCAATGAAGTAATCTGTTAGAAATGTTGTAAAATTCTCACAACAGCGTAAACGGACAGATGAAGAAGCGTTCATGGACTGTACATTTTTTGTATATTTGCGAACAGCAGCTTCGTGTCTTAATAAATTTTACCCTCAAACGCCCGACTGCTATGAAATTGTCAGGTGATTTTTATAGGTCAGCAGAAGCAGACTCAGGGAAGGCATATGCCCCTCAGTAAACAAACAATTTTCCACCCATATGTACATTTACATATCTATCCAGACTTGTTAACGGGCCGCCATAATTGAGGCCCGGCCCGGCCCGATATAATTCAAGTCGAGCCCGTTGGCGGCTGATAAACAGGAAATTTATTAAATATCGGCCCGTTGGGGTCCGTTGCTGCTTTTTTGGTAAAAAAAAAAAACAAATTTTTTTCAAAACAATTTTAATTAATTGTTTTACTTATTTATAAAGACTTTTTTTAAAAGCCATGGAAACCATTTCAATTGCCTCAGCGGTTGTAGGCGAAAGTTTTGCCCGTCTTTCGGATACCGTCAGACCGCAATCAGAGTAAAGCCTCTCCCGCTGCCCGGAACTGGCCTGCGTTCCAAGCACCTTTCGCGCAACTCTGAACAACAGTGGAAGCTTGTCAGAGTTCTTTCTCCAAAATTGTGTTTCATTTGTAATAACTTTAAGGCGTCTTTTTCAGCGTTGGTCAGTGTCACTGTTTTGTTTAAATACTGGTTCATTGCGCCCGATACTTTCTTTGTAATACAAGCGTCCACATGTCGTTTTAAATGCAATGTGCCACTTTTTGCATTGTAAGACAGAACACTTTCGAACTTATGGCAGCAGCACAAATTCGGAATAATGAATCCAGAGGCGACAACTTTCACAAGTTTAAATGTTTTCCAGACTTCGGATTTGAAGTGCTTTGTGGTGCCCACAGAGTCTTCTTCCACAAATGCAAAGATTTCGTGCTTCGTGTCACGTCGAATTTGTTTCTGCAGTGAGTCGGCAGTGAACGTAGTAGTCATGTCGTTTAGCACACTGCAAGCTGTACAGTGCGCACTGAAACATAACATTGGTTAGTCAATAAAAGTAAGGCCCGTTGACAAAAGTGAAAACCTCGGCCCGGCCCGGCCCGTTGAGGCCCACGGGCGGCCCGGCCCGTTGACAAGTATGTATCTATCGCACTAATTGTTCCGACCATTTGAAAAATAATGAGGAACTTTTTATTAGAATGTGTTTGAGTTTTTCTTTTTTTCCAGCCAAAGTTAGGTACCACAAATAATCATCGAAAAGGGTCGAATTATATATAATATTAACGCCCTTTCAATCGTGATTCGAACATTATAAAATTTCGAAAAACCGTTTTGAGATGTCGAGAAAACTGGTTTGAAATTTTTTATTTCTGGTCTAATTTCGAGCTAATCAGGATAGGGTGCAGGCTTATATTAGCTTATTTGATCTTAATTTATGCCGTATAAACTAATGTTCCTCGAGTGAAATTAGTTGAAGAGTTTTTTAGCGCAACTTTGGGTTTCTGCAAAAAAAATCTGAAAAAATTTTTGATTTTTTTAAGTTCTAATTTTTTTTCGTTTTTCATGTCATTTTTTTTTTTACAAAAGCTGTTTTTTAAATGGCCTGTTTGACTATGACTGCCGAATGTGCCTAATTTTTTTTTCCAAATGTTTTTACACAAAGGCGAAGATGCACTTCGCAAACATTAGCGAGAACACGAAAAAACGCAGCTCTATAAAGTGCAATAAAAAAAATAGAAATATGTCTCGAATGGGTTTAAAATTCGGCTAAGTCTAGGATTCGAACTGTGATCTAGATATTATTAGTCGCACGCGCGAACCACTCAGCCACGGACGCTTAATAAATCGTAAGCACTAGCCAAAAATAAAGCAGAGAAAAGCAAAAACCACTCAGAAAAAAATTGGGTTATGTCCGGGATTCCAGCTGCGACGCAGATATTATTAGTCTCACACGCTAACCACTCAGCCACATACGCTTAATAAATCATCAACACTAGCCACAAATAAAAAGGAGAAAAGCAGACACCACACAGAAAAAAAAACGGAAGCAAAGAATAGATGCTATGAATTTTCCAATGCTACACATCGTGATTATAGCAAAACGGCCACCAAATAAGTGAACATTTAAATTGGCGAGTTAGGGTAAAAAAGAAGGTTCGTTCTAATACATTGAAACTAACTTTAAAATAAAATTTTGTATTTTTTCAGGACTATCGTCGCAAGAATCTGTGAACAGTAACCGGTTATTCTTGTTTACATCGATTTTGGCCAACCATGCCTAACCGTGATCAAACTTTTCGCTAGGCACAAAAAATTTAGGCAAAAACGCGCCTTTCAAATGTCGCGAAGCCTGAATTTGTATGTACTTACGCGGTCAGACTATTCAGCCACTTTTGTCTGATTTTGGAACAAACCTAATGCGAGCGCTCTTAATCTTTATCAACCATCGAAGCTGGATGAAAAAGAAACACTGTCTCGATGGATGAAAAAGAAACAATGTCTCGATAGAAACTATTTTTAGGCAAAAACCTAGAAACTGAAATTTAAACTAGCAACTCAACAAAATTTAGTGGCAATGAAAAAAATTTTTTAAAGTTCCTCCCTGAGACTAGAATGAACAACACTTGCACCTGAACGAAAGTTGCTTACAGCCCAAGCAAAATCCGAGATGTGGTAACTTCGCGGACAAAACTTGAGCAGACAAATGAAAGTCCGAAAATTAAATTCTAACCGAAGTTTTTCTTTCAACTGCATACAAATTGAAAAAAAAAACAAAGTCCGACCGAGACGCAAACCCTAGACATTAGAATACAAAGGCAACGACGTTAACCCTAGGCCAATTGGGAAGGAACTTGAATGATGTTAGGATTCAATAGTACAGAAAAGATTTGTAAGCCACACAGGGTAACGAAGAAAGAATCTAAGCCGGAAAAAAATTGTCATAAAAAATTTTGAGCTATGAAAAGTTAAATCTTTTAGGAAACATATAAAAGCATATAAAATATATTTTAGCCTCGAAACTACGCAACATAATTTGCCGAAGCTGAAATAATTTCAGCTAAAACCTAATCGAAAAAAAAACCTATAAAAAGTCAAATCACAGAAAATTCAATCATAATAAAAACTGTTTAAATCAATAAAAAGCCTATGCTGTGGAGAGTAAGCCAAACACACATACCACATAACGCAAACTGCATTTTAGAAATGGAAAAGAGGCAAGAGAAACTAGGACGAAAAACACAAATACAAAAAAAAAAGCTTTTTTCAAGAATTTTATTTTAAAAAGCTATTATCTGAAACGAACTTACCCTAATTAGTTTCTAAATGATGGTAGTTTTATTTATGTATTCAAGAAATTCAGCATGTCAGTAGTCCTGAAACTGAAGTGTTCCATTTGAACTAAAATAGACAGTCGCTAAAAAGTTGCTTACGGGAAAAAAGTCGCAAGGGTAATTAAAACACAATATAGTGCTCTCATCTACAGCTGCTGTACTTCCACCGCGCTCAAAAAATTATTTCAACAAAATTTTTATATTCATTTACCGAGATTATTCGGAAGACATATTTACATAGGGGCGATGCTGAGCTTTACGCCACTTGCTATATCTCACAATTGTAGTATCGCAAGCTAGCCGACAGAAAATAAAACAGAAGCCAATCAGTCGATTTTTAAAAAAGTCAAAAACTTTACCAACAAATTTGAGGAAATTATGTCCAGAAACACAATCGCAAACACTAAATAGGCATTCAAAGAATTATCGAGCGGCAAGTAAGCAGACAACTTGAGTACACGAACATTTGAACCTAAACCAAAAATGATGTTATGAAAAACTTTGAGCTGTAATTCACCCCTCAGTATACACAAAAATATAATACCTAATTTTCTTCCAAACAATGCAATGTTAGGTGCTAAGCAGAAACCATTTAAGCCGAATAAACTTTTTCATGACTCGAAAACAAAAAAAATGGAAAAAAAAGAGCTATCACAATTGGGGAAACTTACAAATTACATAAGTCCAAATGCATTTAAATTTTCGTTTCAATCACAGGAGAATTTAGCACGGTGCCATTAAGACACTTTTTAACGGAAATTTTTTCCAACTTGGCAAAAAGAAACAATATTGACCAGACTCAAACTCAAGAACCTTTGCCGTCCCACGCAGAGACGTTACCGATAAGTACAGAATCTAGAACAACACGATGAGTTCGAAGTTAGTATAAATCAAGATATCAAACGATTTAGAGTTTCTTTCAGACAATGTTCCGATTTGATAACGCTAGCAAATCGCAAGTGCAATAAATAAGTGAGGGTGATTTTATAACTAAATCCATAATGTCTCCGCTTTCATGAACAATTGTTCGCAAAATCCAATGAATAGAAAAGTCAATCTGAGGACTTAAATGTTCCTAACTCGCACTAGGTTTGCAACATCAGTTGTAAATTAAGAAATTATACAATACCAGAATTCAGTTGAAAACTTATTTACATGATATATCTATAACATACAGATTTTGTACAATGCTATTATAACTTATTTACAACAAAAACAAAACATGCAAAGTTCCTGAAACCATTGTGAAGTTTGGTGGTATCAATAATTTAAGTCGATGTACTGCGACAAACGTCGGCTTTAGTAATTCTCTATCTCTAGCGGTACATGTCATGATGTGATGAATGATCATTTGATTCGGGGGCCAATATGAACAGAGAATACTGGCTGCAACCGATTCAATCCCTCTCGTACCTGAAAGACCAAAAAATAAATAAAAGAACTGTATTCCAGGAGGGATACATTATACATTCAAATATTTATGCAAAAGCGGTTGAATATTTATAACTTAAAAAACGGCTGAGCTGATTCGTCTCGGCCACCTATGTCATTGAACAGTTTGTTTTGGTGTATTAAAGACAAGGAAGACAATTTGAAAAACGGAATTTTCACTCATTTGCAAAGCTAAATTAGAAAAGATAAATTATTATACAGGCCATGTCTCTAAATTGCATGTCGCCTATGTTTCTGCTTATCTTTTTTTATAATGGAGAGAGACTCATCTTTCTAGGGTACTTACTTGGATAGCTTCTGCCGCAGCTCTTTTATCTCCGAGTTCTTCGTATCTAGCATCCTCTTCAAGTTTTTGTAGGCTCCTGTCTGAGTGAATTTTCGTTCCAGTTCCTAAAGTTGTAGACAGTTCCAAATCAAAAAAGTCAACTTTGAACTACAATCTGCTCGTATTTAGAAATTAATTTTTCTCGAACTTAGAGACCAAAGCACGTTGTCATTGTGCATTGACTAATTGTTTCGTGGTGAACAGATTCGGCATGAAAACCATAAATCTTTCCCAAAACTCTGTGACTTGACTTTGAGGCAATTATTTTAAAAAGTATCATATCGTATTCCATTCGCACGAAGTTGAAGGCTCGTACAAATAATTCTATCTTAGCGCTCTGAACTAGAAGTATTAAGAAAAGGTTCGGCTGTTGCTACCTTCTCGTTTTTCTCCAGCATCTCTCTCGCTTCTAGCAGTTTGTGCTTCGCCGAAATCATCTCGCTCTCCATGTAAGCAGACTTCCCGTCATCTCCCTTCGGACCCTGGAAAAAGAGAGACACCATGGAATAAAACGGACATGCTTCATAATACATACTTGACTGTTTATCCAATCCAAAGCAACAATCAAATCCACCAGCGTTTTGAAATACTGATGATGCAAAACCTATGGGTAGGTATCGAAACCAGTAGCTAGCGCAGAAGTTTTTTGAGGAGTGAAAAATTGATTTGATGCAAAGAACAAATCCAGTGCTTACCTGTTTCAACTTCAATTCAGCCATCTCTGCTTCAATTTGAGCCATCTCTTCGCTTGACAATCCCTGAAAATAATATAATCGTCCTTAACAACAGCACCCACTTTGTTCAAAATAAAACTTAGACGTCAGTTTGATTCAAATTGCTTTGCTATTCAAGCAAGTAACCTTATCAATACAGAATGAACTTTTCGAACACATTCAAGTTCCGAGTAACATTTTGAAAGATCATTTCATCTCAAAAAATTCAACAGGGGGAACATCAAGCTCGAGTGACTGAAAGAATACAGGAAAACAGCCTTATTTAAAAGTTCCATTTCACCAGGCTGATGATCCGTGATTACATTTTAAATTCATATGCAGTTTAAAGACTCCTCACCGATTTCCGCTTCATAGCATCAAGACGTTTCTGAGCGTCCTCTAATTCTTGCAAGACATGCTTCTTATCTCCAGAGGAAGAGAGTGCCTGAAATTATCCCATTAATGTCAAAATACTAATCAAAACAAAAACTCTCATATTGACTTAAATAAACTGAAATTACTCACGGCACTTTCAATTGTTTTGAGTTTGGAGAGAAGAAAGTCATTCTGTTCTTGTAACTCAGCTATTTTCTAAACACGCCAGGTCTGAGTAGATATCCGAAATCTTAAACTTAAAAAACAGTCATAGCACTGGAAAAATGCACTTCCAGATTTTACATGCGAAATTATTGCCAACAAGAGTGACAACATCACTCTGTATTTGGTATTTGTCTCAATCAAGCCTTGACAGCATTCTAACAACGTATTAATTTCTACCGAACCTAACAAGATTTCGGTTCATTTTAAAGGATCTAAAAATATTGTTTGTATCGAGCTAGCTGGCGTACCATGTGCAATAAGGCTGCTGGACCTGCATTGACGGAAGAGTCTAGTGGATCCAGCTTCTTGTTTTCCAGAGATCCATCCTGAAAGGCGCAGTTCCATCATAACTAGACTTATATTCTGACGAGATAAGCATAAGAAAAATAATACGGTTGTTTTACTCACTGCAAAGAAGCTACTCTCGAGTTCTTTCATTTTCTCGATCAGGTCTCTAAAACAAAGATGTTTTCAACTAATTGAAGCGTTTCAGAATTGACAAAAAAACTCAAAAATTATCGGATATTTATCCCAGGGATGAGTCATAAATTTACTTCCGTTTCTTTTCTGTAACTTCGCTATATTTCTGCTCCATGTATGTGAAATTTCTTTAAAAAAACTAGCACAACATCGCTAATTAAGCTACCTAAATTCCACTGTTATCTTTTAAATGCCCTGGTGCTTACGAGTTCTCTAGTTGTGAAATGTCAGCATTCAGTTTCAAGTGCCACTTCTCCGACTGGCCGAACAACTGTCTCAGAAGGAGCAAGTTGGTGTGCATAGCGAATGCCAGGTCACCCTCCACGTCCATTTTGATCTGATCCTCCAATGAGGACAGAATCTGCATCACTGGAAAAAGAAAAAACAAGAGAGCAATCAATTGGACACGTGGTTAACAATTCAGTCTATAGGATTAACACATCATTTCAATTTCAAATTTATAAGAACACTCAATTGTTCTGACCACCGCCACCCTCGGACCCCGCAAAAATTTAGCAAGAACCCTCGAGTACGGCATTATTTAAGTCCTTTCAATCGTGATATTCAAAAAAATCAATAAGCTGTCTCTGTAATTAAAAACACTGATAATAACAAATTCGATTTCAAGAAGGAAACAGTAATTTCGAGCGGTGTCTTCACTGATCTGCATTTTTACTGGTTTTCAGAAGGACATGAACACAGAGGCGCCGCGGACCTTAATACCACTTACGATACAATACAACAAGCAGTGCAAACCAGCGGATAAAAAATGAGCTTCATCTATAAAAATTTCACACATGTCTCGAATTACAGAAAAATTGCTCATATTTGAAGAAGGTTCATGCTTTGAAAAGTAAGTGTACAATAGTAAGTGTACAATACAAGCTTTCTCAAAAATAATATTAAATTTCTATACATATCGAAAAAAACAGGGTCTGGCCGGGACTCAAAGCCCCGACAGTGGGATCCCAAGGCACGCGCTTTACCAATACATCTAAGTGGAATAGGGCATAAAAGTTATTGAGGTTCAATAACAAAGCAAGGTCAATATTTTTCTCTAATTTACTTTTAAATTGAATCCGCTACTGCTATTCAAGAAAGTTGCAGTAAATTTCACAAACAGTGGGAAAAAAATTAATAAAAATATCACCTTAAAGATCTAATTTCAAAAATCTTTGATGACTGAAAATTTTTGATGAAACTAATCCAATTCAAGACACAAACAAACACAGATCAGTAGATGATTTTTAAATTCCGCTCGAAATCCTAAACAAGGGTCTGGTCATGATCACAGGGCAGCCAAGAATGAACAACTTGAACATTTTTCGATTTTCGATATTCGCAGAAAAAATTAAATCACTCTGAAGATTTGCATTTCAAAAATCTTTTAGAATTGACACTTACTTCAGAAAACTAACAAAATTAGAGAGAAAACGCGGTCACAAGGTAACATTTTTTATTTGCCTTGAAACTTCGTTCAATAAAATTCGATTTTCAAAACTTAAAATTTCATTTTTTCGCCATTTGGATTTTTATTGTTGGAGAGTGCAAGTTTACTTTCTTTTCACAAAAGTTGAATTTAATTCCTAAAAAAATGACAAAAAATGACACTGACACTTCTGAATTGACGGCGAACCTACCTTCATCTTGAGTGAAGGTGGACTCCTGCATTACATGTGAAGTCTTGACGTCATCAAAGCAGGTGTTAATCGATTTGACCACTTCTTTCCTCTTGAAGCGAGAGAAGCGCATGTAGCCTACTACTTGTGTCGTATGATGTTCATTTAGTCCCAGAGCTTTTTCCTGTGAACACGTTTTGGTAGTCCAAGTGTTTAGGTTTACGAAACAATTGATTATCATAGGTGTAAGATACTTACCATTTTGAGGTACAAAGTTTTCTTAATGCAAGCAACTATCTGAAAAAATTATATCTTCAATTTTTTCATCTCACGTAACTTTTGCGAATAGTATAATTGCTCTCAACTATTTACATGAAAACTGAGAAAAAAAATTAATCATTGAATTAAATGCGAAGCTTCGAATAAATTAAATTAATCTTAAATAGCTATTTCCTGAAATATTGGTTAGTTAAATCATTAATTCATACTGTTTAGATCAGTTCTTGCACTGATAAAACCCATTGTTACAGTTAGTTTCACGCCACTAAGTTAGCCTTTGATGACCACCAAGCGCAATTCATGCGTGGATTCAAACTTGCACGGCCACTCTAAAGCTCAATACACGATGCTGTCCGCTCTCCGTAACAATTTTTCAGTCACCATTTCAAGTACTATTCATCAACACCAGTTGCTTCTGCAAAAGACATTGCCACTCTTTCAGCGTATTTCTTCCTATCATCGTCTGTCATACCGGCTGCTTTGGCCTTGAGCTGTTTTAGTTTGCTCAGAAGGTCGTCCATTCCTGTATCGACGCTTCCAGATGCCGAGGCAGAGGCGCCCGAAGAGGCTTTGGGAGGTTCGTCTTTTTTGAAGACAGATGCCATTTGACCAGCGCATGAGTTAACAAGCGCGTCAACTTCACTAAAGCGAAAATCAGTAATTGCACACAAAATTTTGATACAGCTTACTGAAATGGCAAATATAATAAACGGGGGATTATAAATGAAATCGCTTTTCCGCTGCTTGTCAATTAAACATTCCATTTTTAGCATAGGGCGATTTTAAGTTGCTGGATTTTCTATAACAAGTAGGCATTTTATTGTGCCTGCAACAAAAAACTTATCAGACAAAAAATTTCAGGAAGAACTGGCGTTGAAAAGCCACAAATATTTCATATCTAGGAACAGGGGGATTTGACCCCCTGCCGACCCAAAGGGTCCCCCCTTTGCTACTTTTTGAGAAATCCATTTTTGGCTGAGCGATCCTAAAATTTTTCTAAAGGCGCCAATATATACTAACTTTGAGGGGGAGCGCGCGCCAAAAAATTTTCGAAAAACGGCTTTTTTTACCTGTTTTTTCAAAAATTTACCTGCGGCGCAGAAAGTTTGACCAAAACAGTCTTTTTAGTGCTTTAGGAGAGCTAGGAAAATCAATTTGGTCGACCTAAAAAAAAGTCGACAAAATTTTTGAAATTTTTTTGAAAATCCCTCCTCGAGAAAAATTCTAGATCCGCCCCTGTCTAGGAAAATGAAATGCGTTGAGCAGTCATATTTTGAAGCCTAGATGTAAACTTCCTGAGAACCTTGACAGCACCCCACGATAGTGTTGTTGAGAATTTCAAACAGCATATATCGGAAACTAAGATGATTTGAGCAGTCAAACTTGAGGAAACAATTGCAACCTTCGAGAGTGACCTGAGATCATCCCATTATAGGGTTGAGAAATAAAGATTGTCGAGCTTTTTTTAAGTCAAGTTTCTTGAAAAAATTAGAAAAAAAATTAAAACATCGTCTCGGAAACTAAAATGATTTCAACAGCGCACTCGTATGAAAAATTTTCAATTTCTGAGACTACCCGGGCAGTACCCAGCTAGAGGCTTGTGAAATTCCAATTTTGTAAAACTTTTATATCTGTTTTGAAAACTTTTGAACAAATCACAAAAAAACGTGATATCTCGAAAAATAAAAGCATTTGAGCAGTAAAATTTGGAGGTAGGATTCGCAACCCCTGAGATTACCCTGAAAGCCCCAAACTAGCGGGTTGGGAGTTAGAAACTTTTTGAATTCTTTTAAACAATAAATTTTCTGAATGTTTACAAAACAAATCAATCAGACGTCATATCTTGAAAGCTAAAGAAGTTTGAGCAGTCAAAGTCGGAGGAAATATACGCAACCCCTGAGAGTACACTAACAGCACCCAAATACAGGCATCAGAAAAACAAATTTTTTGGTTTTTAATTTTGAAAAAATTTGAAAAGTCCTAAAAATGTGTCGTATCTCGTAAGCTAAACTGATTTGGGAAATCATAATTGGAGTCCAAATTTACAAAACCCTGAAGGAACCCTAACAGCATCCCACTGTTGAATTCTAATTTTAAACTTGGTGAAAAAAACACTGAATTCAAACTGGAAAATCGAAAAAATTTCTTAATCGTTGCAATATACGATATAGCTTAAACGTGAAAAAATTCTTCGTTAAACATGCAAAAAATAAGTTGAAAAACCTTAAACATGGCGAGATAGTGAAGCCCGTATTTAAATACATACTATATGGTATAATGTAGATAGATAGATAGATAATAGATTATCCAAAAAGTCACATTGTTTGAGCCTCATGTTTGGAGTGAAAGTTATGGCCGTTTATCAGATCTCTACATTTCACCCTCCTCCAGCTAACCACTACAATCCCACTATTCGCTGTCATAACCTTGGGTGCAAATAGTGATCGTTCTAATAGCCCACTATAGTGTATCCATTTTCGATCAGTTATTTGAATATCGGAGCTCTAAAAAGCTGCTTTCTCTATTCATTTCATAAATCGTAGTGATTACTGAACCCCAAATAGACCTGGTCGACATGCCGAAAAATTAATTCAAGCATGCAAGGTACCGTAAGTCTCTCTACGCAAAAAAATAGGTAATTTGTGTAATTGTGCAATAGAATTTAAATAAAACTAGTGGAGCGACTGCTTGTTTGAAATGTACTCATCACCTATAATTAGTAGCAAAAAGTTGGAACAAACAGAAAAAAAAAATTAAGAGCAACCAATTTTGAGCAACTTTTGGTGACCTTGAGACATTTTTCTTTCTGAAAATTTAGCTTTTGCATGCAAAAGTTTTCTAAAACAGGTCATTTGCTCTTTTTAATTAATTTTGTCTGTTTCAACTTTTTGCAACTCTTTATATCACTTCCCATGTAAATTGTGTTCTAACAAACCTGTCAGCTTTTGGCTTATCCCCTGCTCCTTTTTCATCTGCTTTCCCAGCCTCTTTCTCTTCCTCTTCGCCCTCTGCCGTCTTCTTTCCAGGGGGAGTCCACTTCTTCCTCTTCATTCCTGTCCAGGGGTTTGCGAGGAGCGCATTGAGAACCCGAGTAGATCCATACTCTTCGGCCGATTCGTATCGCGTCGACTCTTCATTCTCTGCTTCACCCCCTGCAACATGCTTACTCGCAGGCGACAGTTCAATCAACTCAAATGTATACTCACTGCAAAACTGTGAAATGTTTTCATACGATTCAACTGCGTCGTCAAAGTTTTCACACACTGCAAGGCAAACATCCGGTTTTTTAGTCTTTAGTTGATCAGCATATGCGAACAAGGCGCCCAGCGATGACTCATTTTTAGGGTCAAATAACACTACAAGAGCTTCGGTCAACTCTTGACTTCCCGGAATCGTTTGAAAGCTACCCATTTTGATGTTCAGAGAGGCCGTGTAGTATTTGCAATCAACGTTCCATGTTGGGTTCGCGAGACCTGTTTCGGCACTACATTCAATTTTTGTGACATCAGTTACCAGTTTGGCAACCTCGCCTTTTGATTGGCCGATGAAAAGAATAGTTGGAACTCGTCTAGACATTGCAAATTTTTCACAAATCTGAAAAACAAAATATTCGAAATAAAATTAATTTTTCCGAAATTAAAACGTTACAGCTAAAATGACTGAACTTCGAAATGAAAAAAGATGCTTATTTACAGACAATTTACAGAGCAGTATTGAGTAAACCAATTAACACTAATAGTTTCAGCAGCACAGACTAAAATAAAACATCAACCAAGCGGTGGCACTTCATAAACATGGATAGCTTTATCATCAGAGACAGACACAATTTTATTGCCTTGTGGGTTAAATTTCACACCCCAAACTTGATCGCCATGCTCCACGAAAGTTGCTTCCGATTTCCTGGACGCCGAGTTCCAAACCATTACTGAACGATCCGACGAGCCCGAAACGAGTCGAGTATTGTCGGCTGACCAATCAACGGATAGTACCCAACTTTGATGTCCCGAAAGAGTGGCTACCGGTGTTGTCGGAGCCGAAACGTCGATTATCTTTATCGTATTGTCGTCGCAAGCTGTAGCTAGCAGCTGGTTATCGGGCGAGAAACAGATTCCTCGAATTGGCATCGTATGTGCTTCTAATGTGACAACAGTTTTCCCTGTTTCGACGTCGAACACGTTCACATATCCGTTCATAGTACCAGTTGCAACGTATTTCGTTTTGGTCGAGACTGCTAGACTGAGGTTGAATTTACCAGAAGTAGTGAGGCTGGTAGTCTTCCGCCCCGATTCGCACTCAAAGATATTCACTTGGTTATTGTGACTGCCCGTGATGAGAAATTTGCTGTCAGTTGTGAATTTAACTGACCAAGCATCAATTGCGCCGGCGTCAATGTCCTGAAACACTTTAGTTGTAGCTTTGCTGATAAAACGATAGTAAAAACGTATTACATAATTTAAAAATGGCAAGATAAAAAAATCGTTCAGCAACTTCTTGATCGAGGGAAAGATAAATATTGAGATTCCAGATTGTAAGGCTGTCGCAGTAATTAAGCACTGTTTTGATTTGAAATAGTTGCATTATGTTTTTGTACGTGGAACAAGTAACAACTGATTGAATGCGCAATAGTCAGACAGTATAGCATGTCTAGGGTTCGGTTTACTCGCAAGACTGCCGAATTTTATCCCCCATTCCCGTTCGACATGAACAAACATTATGCCTAAGACACAGAAAACTAATATTTATATAACTTTATAGCACGTGGAGACATTTTAACTTACTGTGACTAACTAGCAAAACTAAGCTCAAGCTAATTTGCTGATAAATAATACCTATCGAAACGTAGATTGGCTCACATTGGAACATTTTTTAGGAAACATTTTTCTAATTGTTTCGGCCATTCTGGCAACCCAAGCGGTGACAACTAGTTAAACAAGTGCAAATATCAAGTAAAAATCGATTAACTACTAACAAAAAGCTCCAAATTTATGACTCATTCATTGTGCTTTGAACAAAATGCTTTAAAAGTTAAAAGAAAATCAGAAATGTTGAGGTTCTAAGCCGGCGACCAGTTCTTTTCGATCACAGAAAATCACTTTAAAAATTATGCTGGGTGGGGGGGGGGGGGGGGGGTATCATGGGAAATGATTCCGCGGCCACTAGGTATAGAAGGTAGAACTTTTGAGAATGAACAAACTTAGAGAAGTTCGGAGCAAAAAGGACCCAAATAATGACCTTGAGTTGTTTGCCTGACTCCAGGTCCCACAGTTTGATGTGTGAGTCCAGGGAGCTGCTGGCGGCCATGGTGCCTGTCTCGTCAATGTCCACCGAGATCACCCCCAACTGGTGTCCCTCCAATTTGAACCTCTCGTCCAGTTTCTCCCCCATCCAGTACCACACCTGCAACGAAACAATCACAACACATCACTCAATCGACAGATGCAGCCAATATAAGAAGAAAAAAAATTCTATGATGATTTGCAAGTTTTCGTGCTGGAGTGAAATTACTGGAGTAATTACAACAGACAGAACCAGTTGAACATAGCCAAAAGAGCACACCTTGACTGTATCATCAACACCCCCAGTGACTATGACGTCAGTGGCCACTGACTGTTTTGAGGAGGGGGGCTGTCTCTTCCAGGCCACAGACCAGATACTGTCACTGTGTGCATTTGGCTTCTTCAACAGGGTGCTGTACTGACCCCCCACTGGAGCAGGACCTCCAGGCAGACCCGCTAGATTCATCGGTAGGGGAAATGTAACTTCTGCACTCCACAAATTAGTCAATCACCTTTCTACCAAATCTGAAAAAAAAACTAGCTGAATTTCCAGCGCGTGATTTGGGATAAAGAGAAACTAAAATTAGATAAACTATGTTTTCTAAGATAAACTATGTTTTCATTGCTCGAATAAAAGCCTCCCATTATCACTTCGAGAGGTCGTACCAAAAACAATCACATGTCAAAAAAACTACCAAAAATGGGAAAACTTGAACAAAATGGAGAAAAATTCAAAAAGGCAAAGCTTTCAATCACTAGCGACTCAAAAAAAATAACAATCATCACATACCGAAAAATAATCCCAAAATGTAGGCTATTTGAAAATTAGCAGCCTAATTGGAAAGTACAGGAAATTGTTTGTACTGATGGGTTTGTAGATGATCAATTGAAGGCTATCAGGCCTGACAAAACATTGTCCTTTCCTATTTTCGAGAACAAGACAGCTCGTATCAGGTGGAAGCCCTGAAGGTTCCGACTGCCCTTTAAAGTAATATCAGTAGTTTTTGAATAAATTTCCAAGAAAAATTTTATAAATTTCTTCTAACAATTATTCCCTACACGCAAGGCAAATCCGAATTGATGTACTTCAATAAAGTAGTAAAGCGTTATTTCGACCGATAAGCTTGCCTCAAATCAATTTTGAATGATTTCTAGGATGGATTATTTTGACACTTTCGCAACGCGTTCATATAAAAAATAGTGCACAAGGCGCATTCATTAAACAACAGATGCACCATTAAATCCCCATAACTTTGCAAAAAATGATGACAACTGAAAAAAATTTCTGGCATTAACTTCCTTCAGACTGTATATAAAATTTCGTTAAATGGCTATTTAAAAAGCCGAAATTTGACTGGAAAAAAATCACCCTGAACATATATTCCGTCACTTTTTTCAAGAGTCCAATAATGAACCAGGCGCATTATGCACGCATCAATTACGAGAACAAAAACGCAAAATTCCTTTTTTCAGATATCAAATAAACATCGCGCCGAAAAATCAATGACAACTTTCAACACTACGCATAGGCAGGCAGCTTTTAATTTCCATTGATGATTTTGAGCCGGAAACAAACAGTGAAAATGAAAATCGATGCCTAAAGCATGCAGTGAAGTTTAACTGCTTGCACTCACATCACGCGCAAGTCTGAGCTGAAGCATGTGTTTTGGAAAGATACGTGCACTCAGGAAACAACAATCCAAATTAGCGCGAAAACAGAAAAAAAATCCTTAAGCATAGCCAACAGATGGTCGTTAAAAGTTATTCAAGCGATCAAATCGAAAAAAAAATTCTGGAAAATCAAGTATTAAGAAAAACATCTACGACCTTCGAGCTCTTTGAATTCCAAGAATCTTTCGTGATGACACTTTTCCTTGAAATTAGCACTTTTACAGAAAAATTAATCAATAGTTAATCAATAATACAGAACATTTTCAATGAGTTTTCTGTAATCAATAATACAGTGCTGATTTAAATTATCCGGACAAAACAAACAAAACTTGAATTTTCAAACGCGTTTTTCTCAAATTGGGTTAAGATTAGACAAAAAGTGAAGAGAACAAATGTTGCTTAGAATTTTATCAAAATTAATATGGTGCAATTTTTTCTCCAAAATTCTCAACCAAAATTTTAATCCAAAAATGGGTCATTTTGACTTTTTTCAATTAATCAAGAATTACACTGAAACTACTTTGTTAATTGATGATAAAATTTTATCACAAGTAGCCTCCTACATAGCCCAACAAAGTTTAAGAAGGGTTAAATCTCCAAAAGTTTGCGCAAATTGTTTAAAATTTGTTTTTAAACAGAGATTCTGGGTTTTATATAGTAAAAATCACATTTATTGACTATCAAGTAATAACTTTTTCTCTTATACTGGTTTTTGGAGATTTAACCCTTCTTAAACTTTGTTGGGCTATGTAGGAGGCTTCTTGTGATAAAACTTTCTCATCAATTAACAAAGTAGTTTCAGTGTAATTCTTGATTAATTGAAAAAAGTCAAAATTACCCATTTTTGGGGTAAAATTTTGGTTGAGAATTTTGGAGAAAAAATTGCACCATATTAATTTTGATAAAATTCTAAGCAACTTTTGTTCTCTTCACTTTTTGTCTAATCTTAACCCAATTTGAGAAAAACGCGTTTGAAAATTCAAGTTTTGTTTGTTTTGTCCGGATAATTTAAATCAGCACTGTACCACTGACAAGCCTAAATTTTCAAATCACTTCTGAAAGTAGACGGCCAGCTAAATTTTTGGCGCTATATCTTTTTGTTACTCTTTCTGATAATGTATTATATAGAAAACGTTTTTAAAAATGCATATCATTAAATATAAGTAATTTAAAAAAAAACATTCAAGTTGACTAGGATCGACAAAAGGCTCGACACACCTACTCATCACCTTCTCTTAAAAACAAAAAAAAAACAATAATATTGATAAAAAAACAATATTTATATCAAAAATGGTAACAACCAGACCAGATTCAGTGAAAAAAACGGTCTTACTTTGGATTTAAAAATTGGGAACCATACTCAGTCTAAAATAGTCAAACGACTATCTTTTCTAAAGACTCATTTTATTCTGAATGAATGCAGATACAGACAGACCCCACCTTCGCACATCAGGACTTGGTCATATTTAATTCATAGTCATTGCTACTTATTGTATGACCTGGTAACCGCCCACAACATTCCCATACTGAGGTTTGGATAAATTCACACAGAGGCGAACCGGAGCTTCGCACCACTTGCGATACAACAAAAAATGTCACAGTAGCTAGCCCAAGAAAAACGCAAGCTGAGTCGGAAAAAAATGTTTTAAGATCAATTAAAAATTGATTTTTTTTCAACGGCGTGGAATGCTGGTGAAATTAAGGATAAATACTTGTCTGGAATGCGGGTGAAATTCAGGATAAATACTGAGAACCACAACTGCCAGTGCTTAATAAGCATTCAAAACAAAATTCATTCAGCCGATACTGAGCAGACAAAACTTGGGTAGACTACTGTTGAGCTGAGAAAAAAAATGAAACTTGAGCTATAAAACATTTTGAGCCAAACTCCCCTCCCCCACCTGCCCTTCTGTAAGCGGAAAAGAAATTTAAAAACTTTGGTGATTCCAACGACCAATTAACAGGCAATTAAACAGATACGCATCAGCCGAAACCATTTCAGCCGAAAAAAAAATCAAAATGAAAAAGCAAAAACAGAAAATTCAAAACAAGAATTGATTTACAGAAAGATCAGCCGAGCTTACTGATTCAACTGATTTCTTTAACTATTTTTTACCCGAAAAAAGTCAATTTCCAGTTTGATAACGCTTGGTAATCGCAAGCGTAATGAGCTATAAACCCTTTTTTCTGAGAGAATGCAGAAAACTCATGCCACAAACTATAGCAGACAAATATTAAAAATAAGGCTAAGAATATACGCTATAGGTAAAAATGAACCTGAAAACCGTCGATAACCTCACCTTGGAAAGTTAAGGTGACCAAAAAGATGAACTTCAAATTTTAAATAGATTTTTTTGAAACACTGATTTTCGAAGAAACTAGCGCGTGACACGCACTTGAAGTGGTTCCAACAAATTGCTTCGCGCAGAAGTGGAGCGCTCAAATCTTTAAAAATTAAAACCAAGGCTACCATAAAACATAGACTGGTGGACTCCAACAGCATTTTCAACTTAATATATTGAAAAATTTGGCTGCTTTTTTTTTTTAAAAAGGTCATATCTCCAAAAAAACTGGGTGTCAAATTTAGTATTTGAGATTTTTAAAATTGATCCCCAAAAGGGTCGTCAGCATACAACTGGACTTTCCATATCTATAAAAAAAAGTTCTGGTTTGAATCGCTTTTTGTTGAATCATTATTTTCTTAACAGATCAATAAGATTTGCTACCCCTGGAAGTACCCTGACAATTTCGAAATAAAATTTAATTATCTAACAACTTTTTTTTGAAAACTTCTGAAAAATTATTAACAAAACGAAGTAATTCCGGAACTTAAAAACTGGGGCAGCCGATTTTGGAGGTTAGATTTGCGTATCATGAAAGAACCCTGAGAGCAACCCATCACGGGTTGTGTGAAGTTTTTTGAAATGGAAGTTTTTTGAGGATATCACGAAGATAGTCTTAACATGCTAACGGAAAGCATTTTAGCGGTCAGACGTTGAAGCCAGAACCGCAGCCCATGGGAACACCCCACGACAGAGTGAAGGCAGTTGCGCTCTAACAGATATAAGGTGAGAGCTATTTATGACCTTGGAAGTTTAAATTCAATGGTTCGTTTGAACAAAATGACGTGCTTCAACAATCGTATGAATTATTTCAGTAAACGTTTCATAAGCTTCACAAAATGTACTAGTGACAAGGATAACAAGATCACTATTTGTAGTCCAGTCCTGCCTTGCAAAATCAAACTGGCGGCTTTAAAAACCTTCCAGTAGTTAACCTTTCAGCCTGTCATTGGAAAAACCATCGATGTGACATAAAATTTACTTGCATTCTAAATGTATATACCTAATATTACACATGTAACTAATTTCCCATAAAATTTAGAAGCTGCTAGGTTATTTTTAATTATTGGTTTGCGGAGCTGTTGGTGTTGCAAAAACTTGGGTTTTCAATTTATCAAATAACTCATTCTTCCATTCTGCAGAGTCTTTTTCATTGGTATCATCGTCTTTACTTTTAAGGTCTGCTTGCACATACTTTTGAGCGTCTGATAACAGTTCAAACAGTTTCTCGTCAACTTTTGGTTTGAGGACTTCTAAACAATTTGCTACAAATTTCCCGGGCAATGTAATGGGTGCTTTGAAAGTTTTCAAGAAAAGGTACAAGCAACAACTAAGCAGCAGATCGCTAAGTGTTGTAGCATTAGCAATGTCATTCTCGAACTTTTTCAGGCATTCTGAAAGATTAGCTTTCTCTTTTTTCTTATCTGCTTTACCAATGTAGACATCACAGTCTTCGCAGCTCTTCAGAAAACTCTCCGAAAACGACTCGAAACTTTCGAACTTTCTGCACAAGCCTGTCAAACTGTTTTTGTGAGCCTCATTTCTGATGTTGCTTATCAGTTTCAGCCTCTTCTCTGGAGTAAGATCAGTTGGATTGCTCAACGAACAATTGTATTCATCCAAAATTATATTAATTAGGGTACTTATTGCCGCACTACATTCGTTTTTGAGAACGTGCTGCTCAATTTGAGAATAATTAGCTGTTTCTTTAAACTCATTGAGAGCTTTTTCTAATATTGGTAGCCCTAGAGCAAACTCTTTCAAAGAATTTTGCATATCTGTCACCGAAACAGTTTTGACTTGGTTTCTCTCAAATTCAACTTTCAGTTTCTCTTCGTAAAGCTTTCGGAGCGGAACAAAAATCATTTCAGCCAGACTTGGGCAAAAAGAATCACATGGAATTTCGTCAGCAAATTTATCTCCGAGAAGATTTTCGATATCTGCCAACTTCAGAACCTCTCCTAAAAACTTATCTGACAATGATTTGCTTTCATGAACTTCCTGATCACTGTCGCTTTGATCATTATCATCATGTCTATCTCTGAATTTGTTTTTGACTGCCTTTTTAGTTTTGGCCTCTCGACCTCCCCTCCCACCAACGCTCATTGCTTTTCCTGTTGGACCTTTCTTCCCCATTGCCTTTTGTTTTCGTTCTTCTTTCTTAGAATTAGCAGCAGTATTTGCTGTTTCGGCCGCTGAGCTTAGAATTTTTTCGACCATCAAAAAGTTCTCCCGTACATCTTTTACAGCTTTTTCTTTAACTTTGCCGTGAAACAATTTTTCCAATCCCAATACGAACTTCTTAGAAACAACCACAGTGTCACAGAGAACGAAGAGCTCTTTGCTGATATCTGAGTTTCGTTCGACACATTTGTCATATATCTTCATTATGTTTTCGTTTGTAAGCAAAGATGGCATTACAGACCCCAAGTCCAGCCAAGAACTATCGCAAATACATTGCTCAAGAGCTGCGATGGGTTCTGATATCATCTGCTCCGTTACACAGCAATCGGGCAGGAAAATTAATTTCCTTTGGTAACTCTTTTCAATAAATCCTTTGGGATCAGCAATAGCTAGTTTAGCCAGTTGGTTAAAGGTCAAAATTCCCGTTGTTTCCAAATTTTTAGTCACCGAATCGATTTGATGTTGCTGAAAAATTTTAGGAATGAAAACGCTGTTGATATCTGATCCACGATCAAGACATCCATCGACGATTCCGTCTTTGATTAGATCGCAAACAATTGTTACCATCATCGGATCTGGTATTTTAATGATGCTTGATAGCGTTTTAAGGGATATAGGCTTGGTAGTGGCAACCAATGCCCCTCTTACTTTTCCCACTTGTGAAGCCTTATGCGTTTCTGTCATCAGGCTTAACTTGTCTTGAGTATAAAAGCCATGGATAAGAGATCCCAAGTACTTCGAAAGATGCTCATGTACAAATGCTACAGGAAGGTCATATTTTGAACATATTTCACCGAATGCTAAAACCCCACTTTCCTGTAATTTCAAATTAACTTCAATCGCCATAGATTCAATATACGACAATTGAATGATTTCACTATTGACCATGTATACGGTGCTACTATCTCTGATTAACTCCTTCACGACAGGTTCCACGTGCTCCACAGAGACGTTTAAAGTATCGCAAAGGTCAATTAACCCAATCCTGCCCTTCGCGAACTCAAGCTCTTGTTCCACTTCAATATAAAGCTGCTTGTGAGTCAGATATTCGCGCCCATCATGAGTAAAGATTAGGTGAACCATTTCTTTTTTAATCAGATAGGACACCAACTCAACGCAGTTACGATCGGACAATCGAACATCTCCTGATGATGATTGCACTTCCTGTAATTGGAGCGCAAGATCATATGCTTCTGCCCATGACATCTCGCTTCTGAAACCACCCTATCAAACTCTCAAAAAGGATATCTACACAGACCGAAATTAGAGCGTCGTAACACGCGCAAAATTTCCTGATCGCTATTGTGACACTGCCTAAGCCGAGATTTATACTGCTTGTGATTCTAAGAATGAATTAATATCTCATTTAGATTATTCACTCAATAAATAGAAGAAGAAAGAACACCTGAAATACTATACAGTAAAAAGCCGAGGCATCAGTATAGCAAAGTGTAAATAATAAAGTTGGTTAAAACTCATTAGTTACATCAAACAAAAACACAACATCAGAAAACAAGCAATAAACAAAACAAAAAAAGTTCGGTTACAGTTCAGAAATTGGTTGATTAAAATATATGAAGTTACGGATACTAAAAAAAACATCAGTTTTAGCCTAATTGTTGTGATAAACTTATTAAATAGTTTGAGATGGGTATGTGCTGGTGATCACCTGGCTGGACGTTGCACACTTCCTGACCTGCCCGAAGTGGACCACTGGTCTTCAGGTAGCGTGCCATCCACGATCTGGTCTGGACCCCGCACTGGATTTCTGGTCTCCTGGTGTGGAACCCGTAGCCCGATCTTGACTCTGGCTCTCCCCTTCTGCCTTCGTTATCTCTACGTCTGGGTGAGACCACTCCTACGTTAGGCATGCAATTGTTTGCCACTTTCTTCTCGACAGTGTTTCTGGTTTTAGCTTTCAACCGTGTGCAGAACGGTCACAGCCCTGTTGGATCTACACACATGCTGCTGCTGGCTCGCGAGAAACCTGATCCACAATCACGACAAGAACTGCGGTCACGCAAGTTTAAACTCAACTCAAAGTTGTCGTTTTATAACATTTCTATGCTCCTTCTTTTATGCGCAGGTGATATTGAAAGTAATCCTGGTCCGTCTGTCGACCCTACTCAGTTGTCCAGATTTGTTAACGCCGCGGAGATCTTAGTCGGGTCGTCTGTTGCCATCTCGGACCTAACCTCCGGTATCTATGATGCTTCTATCCTCAAAGTTGACAACGATCGCTTCTTTGCTCACTTTCGTGGTTGGAATAAAAGCTCTGACTCCTGGGTCAACCTTGATCAAATTTTCCGGCTCCCTGATGGTTATGTTCCGATAGGCCGGAATTCTCGCGGTCCTATTTGCCTTCTCGCGTCTCCTGTCTCCAGTCCTATCGCTGTCGCTTTAACGAGTTCTCCTTCTCGGGATGCTCCTGTTAGCTCTGGTCTCTCTCAAGCGATGTCAAGTATGACGATCTCGGCTGAGCTCGCCGAAAGCGCTGTGCCGGATCTTTCTGACGTCATGTCTTCCAGAGTTGACAGTGTCCGGTTCGTTCCGATTTCTCTTCGTAACGAGTGGTCTGAGGTTGTTGGTCACGCCCTTGACAACTGCGCCACCGCTCCGCACAATCTGAAAAACTGGACTCGGTTGCTCATGCTCCCCAAATGTATCTTGAAAGCCCCTCGCCGCGGAGGCAAGTCTCACGCCGCTAATATTTGCAGAGACATTCGCCAAAGAACCAAGTCCTGGAAGGAGGGCAATATTTCGGACCTCTGGTCTAACGCTACCAAAAGACCTAAAGAGCGAACGAAGAAAAACAGCAAACCTTCTCCGGACTTTAATGTCCGCAGAGCCAAAGAGCTAGCAGGCCTCGGTCAGTTCGGCAGAGCAGCTAAAGCCCTGTGTTCTGATGGCCTCGTGTCCAAAAGTGACAAGTCGCTTAAGGACCTTCGCAGTCTTCATCCTTCCGCTGACCCTCCTGTCTTTTCTGGCCGGGATGAATCCCCTCTTACCTACCAATTCGAATCTGAGTTCGTTCATAAGTCTCTCAAAAGTTTCCCGAGCGGCACTGCTGCCGGTCCTTCGCGCTGGTTTCCTGAGCACTTTGTTCACGCCGTTGAGTGCCCCACTCCTCAGACTGCTGCCAGAACGTTAGAGTCTCTCAACAGGGTTGTTAACATCATCGCTGCCGGGCAAGCCCCTTCTAGTCTCTCTCCGTGGCTGTGCAGTGCGAATCTCTTTGCCACCACTAAACCCAAGGGTGGTGTCCGGCCTATTGCGGTCGGCGAAGTGCTCCGAAGGCTCACTGCTAAATGCCTTGCTAAAGCCGCCAACGCTGAAGCTCGTGATTTCCTGTGTCCTCACCAGCTTGGAGTCGCTACCAGCGGTGGCTCGGAAGCCATCGTCCACGCTACTAAACTGACAGTCAAAAAGTGCTCGGAACATGGTCACCAAGGCGTCTTAACAGTGGATTTTGAGAACGCTTTCAACACGCTAGACCGCACCGAGATCCTCCTTCAAGTTCGCAACCGTCTTCCCGGTCTCTCCGCCTTTGTTGAGTTTACCTACGGTCACCACAGTCGTCTGCTGTTCGAGGATGTCATTCTCAACAGCGAGAAAGGAGTTCAACAGGGGGATCCGCTAGGGCCTCTCATTTTTGCGGTCACCCTGCACTCTCTTGTCGAATCTCTCAAGTCGGAAGTCCCCGGTCTCACCCTCAACTGCTGGTACCTTGATGATGGTATTTGTGCCGGCGACGAAGACTCCTTGCTCAAGGCTCTCTAATTCATCACTTCCAACGGCTTGCATCTCGGCCTCAAAGTCAAGCACAGTAAGTGTGAGTTGTGGGCCCCTGTGGAGTTCTCGTCCATCCCCGTTTCTATCCCGAGAGCAGCGTCTAATGGCTTCGAGCTTCTTGGCGCCCCCATTGGTGATACTGAGTTCTCAGTTAAAGTCCTGGACAAACGCATCTCGAAAGCCACCAAATGTCTTGAAAAGTTACCTCTTCTTGATGACCCCCAGCTCTCACTTGGCATCACTCGCACTTGCCTTGCTGCTCCCAAGCTGACGTACTCTCTTCGCACTCAGCCGCCCTCTCAGCCTGTCGCAGCTTCCCTGCAAGTTTATGATGAACTCCTCCGCGATGCTCTTTCTGTCATAGTTGGCTCACCTGTTCCTGATCTTGCCTGGTCCCAGTCTTCCCTGCCTATCAAAGATGGCGGACTTGGCGTCCGGCAAGCTCGCGACCAACACATCCCTGCCTTCCTAGGGTCTTCGTGTCAGTCAGCTCATTTGGTCTCGTTTCTTACCGAATGCGACATCACTGATACGCCGGAGTTCCTGCGTGCCTCTAACGACTTCCGTGAACAGTCTGGAAGCGTTAACACTCCCGGTTTTACTCAAGAAGCTTTCCAAGAGAAACTCGATAAGGCCACCTACAACGCTTTCTTCTCGTCTCTTCCCGATTCCCGCGAGCAAGCTCGTCTTCAGTCGCTCTCTCTGCCTTACGCCGGCGCTTGGCTTACCGCAGTCCCCATTAAAGGTCTTGGCCTGCACCTGCTTCCTGCTGAGTTCCAAGCTGCTGTCAGATACCGCCTTGGTCTTCCTGTGTTCGCGTCTGCTCGTAGGTGCCCCGCGTGTCCGTCTGGCATTCTGGACGTCCTCGGGGACCACGCTGTCGCTTGTGGGGGGAGTGGTGGCCGGATCTCCCGTCACGACAGACTACGCGACATTATTTTCAATGCTACCACGGCTGCCTCTTTAGCCCCCATCAAGGAGCAACGGAACCTCATCCCTGGAGAACGGTCCAAACCCGGCGATATTTTTGTCCCTACTTGGAGCGCTGGTCTCCCAGCTGCTTTCGACGTCACCGTGACATCCCCGCTGCAGTTATCTCTTCTCTCTCGTGCGGCGGAGACCCCCGGGGCGTCCCTGGAAGTTGCTGAGGACCGCAAATTTTTGAAACACGAGAAAAACTGCGAGGAACAAGGAATCAGTTTTTTCCCGTTAGCAGTCGAAACGCTCGGGGGTTGGTCCGCTTTAGCTATCAAAACCCTCAAGTCAGTTGGTATCCTCGCTGATGCCAGACGTTCTGGTTCACGTGACGCTCGTGTTGCCCCAGTTCGCTTTCTCCAGAGCCTCTCAGTGTGCCTCATGAGAGGAAACGCCACTATGATTGTCAGTCGGGCCATCTAGTCTAGTGCAGTTTATTACGTTTATGCCTTCCCAATTCTGGTGCTCCTTTGTTCCTTTGCTGTTAGTGCATTCCCCCTCTCTTTTCAATCCTCAATGGTTCATCCCACATTTGTTTGTTGTTTGTTTTGTATTCGGTGTTTGTTTTGTTTTGTATTCGGTGTTTGTTGTGTATTCGGTAATTATATAATTAAAGTTTTAAGAATTAAGAACGAGCTGGTATTTTAACTTTACAAACAATTTTATAGATAGTCCAAACATACAGCGGATATACAGAGTATGTACAGATTCTCTGTCAAACAATCTCTGGAAAATTAAACTAAATTAAAACATATAGAACTAGCAAAAACGGAAATCACGCCGCGTATTTGTATTTGTACATATTGGATTGTTTCTCAATTCACTCACGGAAAATTCTTTCAATTTTTTCTTGAATCCTGTTCTCGATTTTTCTAAATTGCGCAAAATTATGGGCAGTGAATTCCGTTTTTTAGAAGTCAAATGAAAAAATGATTTTTGTAGAGAAGCGGTTGCACAATGTTTGTCAAAAATAATTTGTTTCGTTCTTTTGTTGAGCCTATAATTGGCAGTCGGTAGTTTCAATGTATTTTGAAAGCCTTCTTTTTGTTTGTAAGATATTGGTATAAGTATGTGATACACTTTAACTCAATTCATTTCTCGATTCCAATGAACGATTTGCTAATGCGAAGAAGAGAAGAAGATTTAAATTTCGATATGAAAGATGTTTTTTTAACGCCCAGTTCAACTGTTTCTCTAAAGATAGCATCAAAGTAGCATTAATTTGTATTAAAAATATTGCTGAATAATCTAAATGAGATAAAACAAGACAATGAAGCAAGGCAACTAATGATAATGTCGGTAGTTGTTGTCCAATTGTATCTATAGTTTTAATTCCTTGTGCCATTTTTTGGAGAATTGTTTTGATTTGAGCATGAAAAGATAAACTTGAATCAAGAATAAGGCCTAAATATTTGCATTCTGATTTTTTGGCTACATAATGCCCATTAATTACTA